TGAAGCTTTATCAGTCATCATTTTGCACTTGAGGAGATCCGCTGCTCAGTATCAAGTTTCCTAAGTGTACAGAGTAAACCAGATTTGCATGTGTGTTTTCTTTGTGTTTTGGTTAGGATGGGATCTTTCAAGTCTGAATCTCCTGTACCAAAGCAACGGATTGAGAGGCAGAAGAAAGCTAGCAGAGGAAAAGCAGAAAGGGCAATGCCTGCTCAGGTTTGTAAAGTTATCTTTTTAGCCCTTTGTTCTGGCATAGTTATTACAAATGACTTCTAAATATTTTCATTTGTTTGTTTTGGGTTTTGTAATTATAAACTGCATAGTATTTGTGACATCCCTTAAGGGGAAGGGAGCATGCAAGATCCACAGATGCTTGTGCTGTGCTTATCTCCAGGAGCCAGAACAAGCATGTTAGTTCCAGAAAAGTGCTGCCCTACCTTCATGTGGTTCCTTTTCCAGATATATCCTATTGTTTCTCACAGTGTGTGATTACCAGCACTCCTTGGCTGTTATTGCCAACAGTCTTTAGTTGGCTCCACAGCAGCCAGCTGGAGTTGGAGACACACACATCAGCCCCTTTCCTTCTGAGTTTCTACTAAAGGATTCAAACTCCATTATTAGGCTTCTTGATTTGTTTTGTGTGGACTGCAGGATTTCACTGAGTGGAAGGAAATAGGATTTGCAGACCAATTTCATGTTCAGAAATAGGGTTTACAAACTGATTTTTCAGGTTATGAACTTACTTGTTCTGTTGTCTGTTGCTTTGAAAGGAAACAAAAAAGAAACTTCTTTACAATGATGTGGTTTTTCTTTAGAAAGTGTCTAACAGGGTGTGGCATTTACTCGGAAATGTGGTTAATGGCAGCAAGCTAATTAGCTCACATAACGACTGTTTTCTGTGCTTTCTGTTTCCATATTCTTTTTGTCATTCGCTGGCAGAAGAACAAAAGTCTGGAATACTGAAAAAGGCTTACATCTGAAACCGCAAATATAATCCATGTTGTTACAGGGTAGCTGAGGCCATGATAATGCCAGGATACAGAGGCAAATGGTTGATTGCCTTTTAAAAGGCAGCCTACTCAATCCAAATAGTGATAGAAAGGATTTGTTATAGTTTGTACTGGGAAGAAGAGGACTTGGAGGGTTTGTGGATTGCTTCCAAATGATCATCTTCATTAAACTCAGAGATTGTAGCACTGTGCAATCCAGCTCCTCAGAGCTATTGAAAAGTAAGTATACACCTGTACATGGGCTCAAAACATACAAGCCATGGCCTCTCAGACTGATATTGCAAGATGGGAATTAAATCCTAAAGCTCTTCAAAGTTGTCTCATTTTGGCATAAGTGTGTTTGTTATGTTGCACATAGGGAGAAAAATTCAACTTTTATGTTATGTGTTCAAAAGAGGCCCTTTGCATATTCTGGTAATTCAATAACAGTTGAGGTGAATCTCTGCTTCTTTTTCCCAGTTAAAAAAAATGGAGGAGTCTCATCAAGAAGCGACAGAAAAAGAAGTAGAGAGGATTTTGAGAATACTGCAGACTCATTTTGAAAGTGATCGTAAGTATGATTAAATTAAGCATTAACTGGAGTAAATGTATATTCTCTGTGTTCTACAGTTGGGAGTGGTAAAACTACAGAGACAAAATGAGGTGAAGTTGCAAATAGAAATCTTTTTTGAAGCACATATACCAGCTATGTATTTTTTTTATGAACATTAATTAGCTGCTGTTTGACTGCAAAGTAAATGTAAATCCTCTCTCCTGATTAAAGCCTGCCATTTTTAGATGGCAGCCAAATAGTTACTGTATATGGATCTGCATGGGGGAAAAGATGGAGGAAATTAATATACTCTATAGAACATTTGTTTTTGCAGGCAGCTGGGAATTCTGGATTGTAACTAAATTGACAAACATCCCTTTAGCTTTTGAAAGGTGTACTGGCTCTCTTAAGTTTGTGTTAAGTTTTTTATCTGTTAGCTCTGTGTGTAGCACCTGTTTATTTGTTTGTTTGTTTAATTTAACAAAGCCATCTTTGCATCCCCAGCTGATACACCCATTTACTTCTTTGATTTTGTGATTGATCCGAACTCGTTTGCACGCACTGTGGAAAACATGTTCCATGTGTCCTTCCTTATTAGGGTAAGGCGTGACATTTTCTTGAAATATCACTTTAGATACTAGAATGACCTAGAAATACTGATCTTTTTCCACATTCAATATTGAAGAATTAGGATTTAAATGTCAGGAATACTAATTTATTTTCTGCAAGCAGTCTGTGGTACTTTGGTAATCGAATAAAAAGGGAAACAGAGTTGACAGACTTAATTTTATTTGTACTGCAATCAACTTAGCAACAAAACAGTAGTGATACTTTTGCAGCCAATATGTTTTTGCAGAACAGATTCTGGCTCACATTTTAGATGAAGAACAGTTTTCAGAGAGTATAGAAGAGTTGTTGAGGCTGTAGAAAACTGTACTAGTGCAAGGTTTTCTTTTTGAATCCATGGATTTGCACTTCAAAACTATGTTTAGTTCATCTAATAAATAAAATTAATTATTGAAAAGACAAAAACTGACAAGGATATTTTGACTAATTCAGGTTTTATATTGAAGAGAAATGTTGTTAAGAAGGGTTATCCCAAGTATATTTAGAGAATAATAATGATTTTAATATAGCAAAACTTCTATAATCCGGCAGTTACACACTGTGCTATATGGGCTGCTTTCTTCATACATAAGTGCTGTATTATACTGTTTTCTTTCTTATGTAGTATGCCAATGAAGATTTTTTATCAGTATATGTACCTGTTCATGATTATGTAGAAGTAAAACTATGAAATTTCAGTGCATTATCCTAACTGGAAAGCTCTAAGTTATGAAACTTTAAATCCCACTGTTGTTTAGGATGGTCTTGCAAAAATAAAGCTGGATGAAGATGAATTGCCAGTAATAGGTAAAATATAGCTTTAAAATATTTTAATTGTTTTTTGTAATGACATTACATGTTATGTGTTCACAAAGTTTTAGGTATATTTTTAACTGGGAATATGCAGTGAATAAGTACAGGAACATTGCTACACTTGGCTGAAAAAAGAGATTTTTGGGAATAAGAACTCTCTTGTCTTAGAGTTGGGAACTGCTTGCAGCTTCAGAACAGTTGGAAGGGAAATGCCATTCTTCATATGAGGTTGGCTTTCATTCCCACAGGATATCAATGGGGTTAGGACTTCAGAGGGATTTTGTAAGGAATGAAATACTTAGGTCCTTCTGAAAAAAAGTTAGTTCCTAAATTTTTCAGATGGGAGATTAAAGAAGCATCTCAAGCAGTACATGATACAAACTGATAGAGACTAACTGGGTGGAACATGCAGGATTGATCTGAATTCTGTGGAGCTTTTGTGTTGCTGGTGGAAACTGACTTTACAAGTGTAAATCCTGAAAATGCTGTGTTTTGATCAGAGCCTATAAAACTCTGCCGGGGAGAGGAGGAGGACAGCAGAGCTGGAGCACGGAACCAGGTCATCCTAAGTCTGGACCAGAAGGAATGGAAGGTACCACGGAGAGCACTTCATACTTTGTATCAGTTCTTTTTTGTTTAAGCCTCTGAGAGCTGTGCTGTTACCTGCTCTGGGGAGGGCAGGTGTTCTGTGTACAGTAACACTGCGTTTGGCCTTATGGTTGCCAGAACAATCACAGATCTAAGGGATGTTTGTAGCTACAAGAAAACCAAGAATTGGGGTAGTGATTCCATCTTTGATTCCTGAAGCCTGGTCAGTTTAAGTGCTTTTAAGCTGTGCACTGTCTTGTCTTTACTGTTTTACACGAGGGTTGGGTAAATATGGAATCTTTTTCTTCCCTTTTTTATAATACTCGTCTCTGGAGAAGTTCTCCATGCAGTTTCCTGACTCTAATAAATCTTAGACAAAAAGTAGTTTTGAGCACACATACAGCTCTTTTCTTTTGTCCCTCACTCAGAATGTGCAGGGGAAATGTATTAATTTGAAATAGTGCTTTAGTATCAGAAACTTTATTATTTGCTTAGTGGTAATTAAATTGAAATAGTTGAGCTCTGCTGACTGACATGCTGCTGTTATCTCTAACCAGGAGATTATAGAAATATTTCAGATAAAAGAAGCCATGATTACCCCTCTTTCTCAGAGCACTGAAGAGGACATGGACACAGAGTAGCTATTCAGGTAAGTTCTTTTAACAAATCAAATTCAGTAAGTTCCTTATGTGCTTGGAGGAACTTCAGGTAAACTACCCGTGACTTAAAAATGCAGAACTGTAAGCATGGTGACTGTAACATCTGAAATTGCTGTGTTCTTGCCCTCTTCATGAAATAAAATGTAATTTAGCCTTGTATGCAATGATTACCTGGGAATAAAAAAACAACTTTATTTTTGAGTTTGGTCAGTTAAATGGTGAGTTATTTTTTGGAACTTTATACTCAGAATGCAGTGCTGGAAAGAATCATAGCTTAGTTTTTCTGTTTGGTTTCTTAACTTCCTGATAGCTGATGATGTTAATAAAGTAGTCTGAAGAAGGGCTTAGAGGGAACCAGTCTGCCTTCCCTTCTGCTTCCATAAAATTCTTCCAATGATAGGACTGAAATCCTCCCTTCACTGTTGTTTTGTCAGTTCCAAATCTTAATGCATATTGTCTTACTGTCTTCTTTTTTTTTTTCTTTCCCCTTAGGTGCCTTAAAGAAAATACTTCAAAACATTTGTTTCAACAACTGCTTTATATGTATATGTTGTAAAATTAAATTTATTTTTTCTGGAACATCTCAACGCTTTATAAGAGCTGCTTTGTTTAGAACCATGGAATGGTTTGGGTTGGAAGAGACCTTAAAGCTCATCCAGTTCCACCCCCCAGCCATTGCAGGGACACCTTCCCCTGTCCCAGGCTGCTCCAAGTCCTGTCCAGCCTGGCCTTGGACACTTCCAGGGGCCCACGGGAAGCCACAGCTGCTCTGGCCAACCTGAGGAAGTTTAGACTTGTCACAGAGCTATTTATATATTATGGCTCAGTTTGCTATCTCATATAAAATTTACTGGCACTCAAGAGAAAGGTAAAAAGGAAATACTGTGGCCCTTCTTTCCTCCCTTGTCTGGTCCCAGCAGCAGCAAGTGGAATTCACATGGTTAAACATCTCTGCTGTGATAATCTTGCTATATTACATTATTTTTGGTGCTGCAGGAGAACAGATACTGCCCTGTTGTTTTACTGCTCTGGAGATACAGGTCTGAGTTTGGAAATCCCATCTCAATTACACATAGCAGTTCCCCCTTCCTTTATTCAAACTCCTCCTGTATTTGTTTGGTAACCTGGGCATTGGGCAGGCCGGCTCTATGGGGCCACAACATTATTTTATTAAAAATGCAAGAAGTCTTGTTCCCTTTACAGAAGACGCTCTGTGCAAGAGCTCAGGATTTCTTCCATCCTTTTATCCTGCTGCAGCAGCTGAGGAGGATCCACAGGGATCCATCCTCCCCAGAAGGCCTGTTAGAGCGTGCTTGTGGGTTGAGGAGCCGGTCAGGCCCTGTGGGGCACGGGGACGTGGTGCGAAGAGCGGCAGAACCGGCGGCGATGTTTCACCGCCGGTGTTTCACCGCCGATCCGCCCGCGGGGGAGCCTGGGCCGGGCGCGGCTGCGGCTGGGCGGGGGCACTGCGGGGCGGCCGGCGCCATGCCCGCCGCCGTGGTGGAGTACAAGGGATGGAAG